TGCTGTCGGGCAATGCATATTGTTCACGACTTTCAGGTAGAATGCTGGAAGATGTGACATAAAAATCTAGAGCGCGTGGGGTATGGGTGGCAGGAAACGGGAATACCGGCGGCAATATGTGTTAAATATGCAACCCTGACTTTCAAGGGGCTTGCATGCAAAAAACACGTGGTTTACGAAACTAACTGTAAACTGTGTGAAATACATCGGATGGGTTTTGTCTATGTCGGGGAGTCCATGTATCCCATTCGCTTGAGATGCAATATATTCCTGCGAGACACTAAAACCAAAACAGAGAATACCCCTTTCGGCGACCTTTTGCTTTGACAACTGAGACAACGCAGGCTGAGATCCAGAGAAGTACAGACCCTGTACCCCTTTTAGAGCACAAAGTCATCTACAGATTACAGGACCATCCAGACAGAAAAAAAACGAGTGAATCCATTCTTATAAGCAGTCGGCGACCAGACCTCAACGTACAGCGCTCATTATGGCCGATTATGCTAAGGTGATTATTGCCTTGATATGCGATGCGTGCTAGCTTAGAATCGTTTACATGTATGAGTAATACCTGACGCGTGATGCGCGATGCCGGCTTAATTGGAATCGTGTGCATGTATAAGTGATGCGTGATACGTGATGCGAGTTTTTTAATTGCTTGCAGATATGAATAATGCGTGATGCAGATGCCTGCTTATTTCAAGTTGTTTGCATGTACATGCATTTTTTGCGTATTTTACTTCTTAGTTGAATATACAGCGCATCGAAGTGATGTCTGGCAATTGCTCCTTATTTTGACCGCGCTCAGCCGGGGGGGGGGGGGGGGGAGTGGGGGGAATGAACCCCAAAGGTTTTTCCAGAATAACTTTCGAACGGTGCGGCAAAAATGCAAGATCGCGGACCTATGACAGGTCAAAGTTGTGAGCGACGGGCATTTCTAGGGCCACATTCAATGTGGTGCACTACCGGATTGTTAGAGGAAGCCATACATGTCTGAGATAGTTTCTTAGGCAAAAACCATTGAATCTAGAATTACAACCGGTTCCATTCCCCTAGGGTCAGACATGAATCTATAACCGAGGTCAAAACTAGCCTGCTTTTTTACCTTTTAACAGGTGTCTAGCTTTACGATCGTTGCAAGAGAAGTCTGGGGGCACTAAGGCACTCATCTGAAGTTTGACCTTGTTTGACCTTATTTGACCGCAAGGTCATGTCAGATCTTAGTGGTCAGATTGACCCCATCCGAGCAAAGGGTATTCAGGTGGCCACTCATGCACGTGTTAATACCCTGAATGTTGGTGACCTGTAAAAACTGTGACCGACCTTTCAATGAAACAACCTGAAAATCGAGTAGATCGGCGGCAGCTTTGTATTCACCACCGATATTCGTTTTGATAAAGACATGTAACCAAAATATCAATGCATTTTTCACTCCCGGTTATTCCACGAGGAATAAAGCTATTAACACTGTCTTATCTATATGCAGAATGCATTGATGCACTTATGCCTCGCGAATGCACTCACAGCTTATGTCGCGCATCACATGACAGATTTCTGCCCTTTGCTATCAGTTACTGTTTATTTCTATACGTAGGCTTAAGTGTATCAGCAGGAATTGTGGGCCTTCATAGCTACCGTAAATGCAGACCTATTGTCTGAACGACGGAAAGTCATGGTAACCATGCCAGTCAGTCATTGGCAGTAGATCAGTCAATAGCATAATCGCTAGCCCATGTTTTCACTGGTACAACATGTCCCACACACAGCTGATGCAACATGTACCACCTGACATCTTGAAAAAGCTCGCGCCATCCCGAAACCCGTGGCAAGTAGACGCCAAATGTTTCGCGGCAAATGCGGTCACCATTTCATGTCCTGGTAGGAGGGCATTGCTGTGGCTAGACGCTCTCATCAATTTTGACCCTAAATCCATATTTGAAGAAAGTGCGCGCAAATGTGAGATAATACACGTGGGTAACATCGCTGATGATGAAGGCGTGTTGGTTATATTTAGCAAACTCGCAGGAAGGTTCAATTAAAGTACATTCTTAAGCACTTGGGGCTAACCAGCATGATACCAACACGATGGAAAATTAAACTCAGGGGCATGCTTGAAAAACTGATCTTGCTGTTGCTGAGAGTCTGTTGAGCATTGAAAGCAACGTCTAGAAACTCAATGCCAAAACTGAATCTTCGTGGACAGCTTACCTGCTTATCTAAAGCAATCTCAATAGACTTCTACACAATGGGAATGGACACTATCACACCCACTGTTTTGAGAAGGTAGGAGCGCGGGGGTGTAGCCCCACAAGAGTGGTCGAAAAATTCGTGTATCGCTTAAATTTGTGCAAGGCTAACTTGACTCCAATCGTTCCAATTTCAGATTACCAATCGTTATATTCCTACAAGCAAATTCCTGTAGTAACGGTGGATAGTGGATAGTCCAATGCGTCGTAACGGTAATGAACCAAATGTACCAGTCAATCATTTTCTTGGTTGCAGACCTGTACTGCCTTCTGAGAAAAGGTATTTGCATGCGCAAAAAAGTAGTGCAGAGCGGATGCATCCTGCATCCAAATGCACACATTGCCCTCTTCGGTGCACTCAATGTGTCACCCGTTACCAGCTTATTGATCATTATTGGAAACCACTATCTGCATGCCTGTTATGCCCAACAAAAATAATTTATATTTGATGCTTTCGTATCATATTCGGCTGATGTGCTTGAGACAAAGGAGTGGGTGGCAACTGGATGCATTAAAACAACAGCAGCGGTAATACGCAAGAGAAGGATGTTCAGCAGTTTAGGAGTGAATGATCGGTGAAGTGTATCCCAGCTCGTGTTGGTGCAGCATTACGATTTTTTTAGAGAATTATGTAAATGCACATGAAAACGATTCACTAGCGGTAATTGTATGCTCACATGCGTGAATTGTGTATCATTTGTGATTTTGATGTATAATAAACATGACACGAAAAAAACCGGTAACCAAAAACCCGAGCCATGCGTGAAGTGGAAAACACCAATAGGCATGGTCCAAGCGCAGGAATGGATAAAGTAGGCGGAAAGTATCAGGGGCCACAGTAAATGAAGATGGCGGCGATGCATGGACCCGACTGGAGAAGACGAGAAAGAAGAAAATGAAGAACGCAAATGTGGAGCAAGTTCAAAGGGAGTGTTCTACATTTAGATGGGATTTTGAACAGAAATAGCCATCCTGAAGAT